CCATCTTAATGGAAAAACGTATGCAAATGTGAAAGGTGTTAAATAGAACATCGACATGTTTTTGCTTCAAAGCCAAGTGATTTCTATAATCAGGGTATTAACAACCTGATTGTAAGGTGGAAAAGCATCATCAAAAAAATGGAGACTTTTTCATTTAATAAATGTTTTGTCATTATATATAAGTTGTTTGGGTTCTTTCATCTAAAAAAAGCTACATTAATTTCTTAACGATCTAATAGTTACCTAGAACCATCTTATGCACTTTCATATCTCAAATTAAGCTCGACAATTACCTGTTGTTACTGAAATGAATCAGTTATTAAATAAAACACATTTCATACATTTTACATGTTTCTGTACTCTTAAAGAAAAGGATGAAAAACTTGATAAACACAAATATTGTAATATACATTTTTGCCACATTAAAATCAGCATTGACAGAATCAACTCAATTTTAGTATAATGTTAGCAACTAATGCCTACATCAATTGTACATAGAAAATTTAATGTTAATAAACTTCCACATGCTAGATAATAATCAAAACATACACATTTTTGGATACACACTCTCTCTTGACTGTATTATTAAGAACAGAAAAGTTAAACTTCTTAACTATGAATCCCCCCTTGTAACTTTATTTAATGTGTATTTCAGAATATATTGTTTTGCCTTGCTGTCTATACTAAATGACTTTTGTTTCTGGTATTTATCTCTTGCTTCTCTGTGTTACTCATTTTAAAATATAGAATTTTGTTTTTTCAGAAGATAAATTCCCAAGAAATTACTGCTCACTAACTTATAAGATGCTAAAAGTAGCCAAAGATTTACACATACATTTGTAAACACCACTGTACATTAACAATTAACCAAAAGTAAAAAGCTCACCTGTATGATTAAAGATGAGCCACCACTGGCTATTTCTGGTGGGATCTGGGATAGCGGACAGCCTTCCACGTTCATGATTTGGAGGTTGTTGCAGAGAGCCAGCTCAAATGGGAGATTGTGTAGATTAGGATTGTCATTCAAGTACAAGGATTCAAGGTTCTCCAGAGAACCTAAAAGTAGAAAAATTAAAAACTATAAAGCAAATTAAGTAATATAATATTTAATATTAATACAAAATGATCTTTCATGGATATCAGCAGTCTAAGGCTTGTGCAAGAGTTGTACCAGGACACCCCTTATTCAATTAACTATTTGACTTTCATGTAGAAGTATGAATCTATGTCAATAGAAGTTTCACAGTATGCATCCACCTCAGAAATACAACTGATCTATTTCATTTCTGAGGAGAATGTAAATAAAAGGGTTATAAGAAAACAGAAATGTTGAAAAAAAAAATTAACATGGCATTGAGAATTCAGATCAGCAAACATTCGGTTTAATGACTAAGTAGATATATTTTAAAAGTTTCAAACACGAAGATTACATTATTCCTCCACAAAAACTTCCTCAAATTCTTTCAGTGGTGTTGAAGAGGGAAAGTAATGTCAATGTCTGGTTTCGTGAACACCCTACAATGGACTATGTTTTGATGATTATGCTGACCTGGATGATCAAATGAATGTTTTTTGTGCTGAGCAAACTAGTTTGAAATAACTTTTGTTTAATGCAGGCATACTGCCATCTCAATGTGCATCATATGGTAAACCAGGACTCCCAGAATATAATTCTGTTTTTAAATACAGTAATTAGCTAATTGCTTACAAACAAAATGTGGTTCACTCTTACAATTGGAACCAAATACTCAAATATATTTTTTTTTCTCAACATATAAAAACATTAGTTCAAAAGGTGAAGGTTCACTCCCTTGAATAAATTACCTTTTAAAGCAATGTTTCTCACCACAGTTTGTATTCACTGTACCACTGCATGTGCAAACGTCTTTCTCAGAGCTGTAAATGGTTTGCTATATAGTTACTCTATCATGGTATCCACTGAATCCAAGGAGAAACTTTTCTCTGAAACTGTTTGCTGTCATTCAAGTTACTATTGTCTTGTTGTTTTGTGGTGCTCTGACACCTATTTCTACTCTTTACACTTGAAATTATACTAGTTACAAGTCAAACAGCAACAATCTATATGTTATTTGTAACATGTGCATCAGCTAAATAGACCCTTATTATCACTATTCTGAAGTTTCCTGGAAGGCATGATGGCTGGAACCGAGCCAAAACAAGAATGGCTAGCTATTATATGCATGAAGTCCAGACACCTGGGATTGATGATGCATGTGATATGCATAATTAATGACCAAGCTTTTTCTTTTATGAGAAAAGATTTGGGTGCCTATTAAAACTAGCATGCGTTTCAATATTTTTGCTTATCCTCATTGACTCTCTCCAGATGGGTCACATGTCAAAGGCCATGTCATTGCATTTGTTGTTTAAGGTAGGTTGTATCTTTAGAGATAACTGTTTGCTTTACTTCTTTATTTACTGTTCTATGTTTTAAGAAAAATAAGTTTAGGAACTTATTTCTAAATAGAAATAATCTATATACATATATAATGTATAATGATGGAAGTGTGACTATTTTACAAAATACTAGTATACTAAAGCACAGCAAAGACAGCTCACTTTGTAAAGAATAAAGGTCAGTTTTATATTATTGGATACAGTAACATGAGAGTACGTGTGCCGCATCATTGTAACTTCTGTAATGTTAGCTAGACATGGCTGAAAGGTCAATATAATAAAAATAATCAATATATATATATAAATGTATAATGTTATGAAATTTAAGCTATTTAGTCTAAACATTTATGTTTTCACGTTATAATTTGTTGACATTCTAGAATGAAAGAGGCATGATTTATATTTATTTCCTGTTTTTTTATGGTTGTTACAAGGTCAGTCGAATCTATCGAACCTGTACAGAGATTCGTTAGTGAAAACAACAGATAAAATGTAAAGTTTTTATTCTTAAGAAAAATTTGATAATTATCAGGACATTATAAAGATTTTGCATGTGAAATTTTCTGATGCATAAAAGTATTTTTCATCTTAAAATGAAAATTTACTTTGCATGTTGGATAGGCAACATGCAAAAATAAAAAAGGCATGAGAAAAACATTGCTTAACAAACCTTAAGACTTATTAAAAATTTTTTATACTTTGCGTATGAAAGCATTGTAATGTTTACTGATAATCTCCCAAATTTTGTTAACATACCCTTACTAATTTAAACGTTATAGGATGAAAACTATAACAAGCACAAAATGGTTACAAAGTCAGTCCCTGGGACCGAGCCCACGCTGAAAAGAGTTAACACATACGCATGCATGTGTGCATACATATTAATACAAATATATAACAAAATCACAGTAGTGATTATAAGGGACAATGAAATAAGTACAACAAAACACTGATGAATGCTTACAACCATCAGTATGATGAAAAAAATAACCAGTCATGTCTGTGACAATCTCCCAAAAAGTCGGCATTACACTAATAATATATAAAAAGCATAGGGTCTCAATATTTACATATTCTGTTGTTGGTCAAACTGCTAATTGAGAATATATTGTGCTTCTTTCACTTTTTTAGTATTTCCTCACATTTGTGATTAACAGATCACATGATCAAAACTTTCGTGCTTCTTTTGCATGAAAATGGACTCAAGAGTGTCACTGAGATTGTTTTATAACAGTTGTTATGCCTTATTATAATTAGAATATAGAAATCTCCAACTATCCTTTAGCTGTTTTAAGTAGTATATGTACATACATACTGTATGCTCAAAATAGTTAATTTATTTTAGACTTATGTGTATACAATTTTTCCACAAGAAATCAACAAATAAGTCAACATTTATTAAAAGCTCTATTAACCATTTCTTTTAATAACAATATTAGTTTTGTACAAGCATGAGTATGTGTGTATATGTCATTCACAGAGTCAAAATACACAATTTGAATCTAACTTTATCTACTTTTTCAAGTGTGTAACAAGCACAAAAATATAAAATTAACACTCACAGCAATGCATATATACACAAAGAACTTCTCATGTGCATAAAAACGTAGTTTTAACTTTTTTATAACTTGACAAACAAAGTAAGATAAATCCTTGGTCATTGACTCTCAAACATTTAGTTCATGCACCACAATGTGATCTACACATTATGCTGATACTTCCTTTCTGTAACTAGTCAACCTTTCCATGGACCACTTGAAGGAAGCTTATAGACCACACATTGGTAGATTAATAAAAATAGTACAATCCTAGTTCAAAAATCACATGCATAAATAGTTTAATCTGAATTAAAAAGACAAAAATCTAAAGATGTTTCTAACTATTACACTTGCTTATCAAAGGATAAATATTTACTGATTTCTTCCGGAATGTAGCCGATGTTATTTTCAGCCACACTGAGATACGTGACACTTGTAAGATGGCCAATGGCTCGTGGCAAACTGGTCAGTTGATTACTTTGGAGGATTAATTTCTGAAGTTCTCGTAAAAACCCTAAAAATCAAAATATGGCAGTAATTGTTTTTGGAATATTATTGCTACAAATAGAAAAATTGTGTTCATATTTTCCAAGCATATTCTTATTACATCATGATTTACAGGAAAAGAAAGAAGTAGTAGTAGTAGTGGTGGTGATATACTGATATTTTGGAAATTATATATTTAATTTATTATATACATGTACATATAAAAGTTTTACATGTCAACATACCCAAAACAGAATAGACAGAGTCAATTAGTTAGAACTGAACCATATTTTTCTATGTTTAGTGTGTTTGTATATACAAGAAAAACACAGACAAAAAACATACAGTTTAACTGAACCAATGAAGTACCTATAACTGATTGTTAATTTAATATGCTGACTGATTCCCATTTTCCCTACTTTGTATTTAATTTAAAATAATTTATCACTCTTTATATGAGTTCAGTCATTTTGATCGACCTTTTAACCACAGAACTGTACAAATTATAACTTTGAATGTTGTACGTGTATCTTTACAAAGTTTGGCAAGCTTATAGTGAACATTACAAGTCTGTTGATAAAAAAAAAATCAGATTTTTTAATAACATATTTTTACTAAAGATTTGTCTGATTATTTATAAAGCCTCAGATTTTTTAATAACACATTTTTACTAAAGATCTGTCTGGTTATTTATAAAGCCTCAGATTTTTTAATAACATATTTTTACTAAAGATCTGTCTGGTTATTTATAAAGCCTCTACTGAATCAGTTACTCAGATTTCTTACCGAACTCTATTGTATTTTAATAATACATTTAAAAACTAGTATTCATCAGTAACTACCTTACAACTATTATATACTTTCCACAGAATAACCAACCTATTTCATTTGGCAATGCTTCTAGTTTGTTTTCCTCTAGGTCCAGCAGTCGTAACTTGCGCAAGTTTCCTATCGTTGCAGGAAGCCTCTTGAGGAGGTTATTACTTAGAACTAAAACTTCAAGTGACTGGAGAAACTGGATGTCATCAGGAACTTTGCTCAGCTGGTTAGTACCCAGATTTAACTCCACCATGCTAGTCCAAGTGCCTATATCTATAGAACACATGGAATGGTTGCTATTCAGTTATTACTCTTTATGCTCTAGTGTATCTATCTGTTCATGTTTGTAAAGAACTAGGTGAATCATTTTCAAAGGTGACAAATACAGTAACAGAACTGACCAAGCTAAAACCACTGTTAAAAATCTGGTATTCTTTTTTTTTTGAAGGGATTGAAAATAACAACAAAAGTAAGTGAGTTTAAGCCCAAAATTCATTTTATGAGAAACTATATTAAGTCATATGTAAATAAATCAGTATATGCTTCATTCACTGTTTGAACAGCTTTTAAAATTTTATTGGTTATATAGATTTATTTATACATATTTCTTTCTGTAGTAACACTGACTGGAGGGTTAGTTAATTACCAAAATTTGCTGCTCACTTTGTTAATTGCACTATATACTGCTATAGCAGTTAAACTGTTACCTTTGAAATACTAAAAAAATTCACTACATTGCCAATGGAATTAACCATTTGTATAGATAGATCCACCTGATATTTTACATCAGTTACAACAAAGAATGAGAATTGCATTATGTATAAAATACTAAATTAATGCAAATGACAAATAAAAATGTAGAAACTAATCAGAAATGTATATAATAAAATAATTTGAGTTGGCACTAGTGTTTTGTTACTGAAGCTATTTATAAAGATATTAATGATGAAAATACCATACTGTGTTTTACTTATGTGTGACTCCACTTTTCATATATTTTCTATTACATTTTATTTCATCTATTAAATTACTAAAAAAAATTATCTCTATCTTTCATTAAGACACCAGAATGTATCTAGAGATAACTAATGGCAGCAATGAAAAAATATAATGAAAATTGTTAAACAACATTTACATCTTTAAAATTCATAAACATTCATCAATAATGTAGTGTTTAGTTCCTATTTCATACATGGAGAAATTCACACTAACCATCGGTTGGTTGGTTGACGTTTTATGGTGGAAAACAACTATGCTATCTTTACCAAACAACCGGTAAAAACAGTGAAAGTAAAATTGTTATAAAACTTAAAAATAGTATGGCAGCAAGTATCAGGGAAAACATTCTCCTGACAGATCCAGTAAAAAATAACCAGAAGAATAGCAAGAGAGAGATGGTGCAGCATCTCGTAATGAACATCGTCAGGTCCAACCGGTGTACTGCCAGACCAATGAAGAGCAAGTTTGAGTTCCACCAGAGTAAAGGGGCGATTATAGTCATAGAGATGATCGGCTCGAAAGAAAAGAGACAATCGCTCTGCCTGAGACTTGATGGTCAAGAAGGTGGGGGAAGAAACAGGAGTGCTAGATGCATGAGAAAAGCTCTCGCCGAGAGTATCGGCGATGCTCTGGACATCAGCAAATTCCTGGTTATTGGAGAGCAAGATGGAAAGGGGATGGGAAGAATACCTCCCACTGACTTTCATAATCTTGTCCCATATGATTTTTGAACTGGTGGTAGAAGAGATGCTAGTAGTGAACTTAATCCAAGATACCTTTTGACTTTGGCACCTCACCTGCCAAGCGTGTGCACAGGCCAGCTGATAAACTCCATCGAAAGTTATCCCAGGCCTATTTTTGAGCATTCTGTGCCTCCTGGCAGGCAGGACTCCATCATGATGAAAATACTGTGGAAAACGTGTCGAGGTGGAAAATGAGTGAGGAGCTGCCTGGATGATACAGTCAATCATGGCTACCATGCAGTCATCTATTGATGGCAGATGGCAGGATCAAGTTCCGAGAAAGGGGGCCAGTTGGCATCGACCATGGCCAAACTCCCTCAAAACAATAGGAAAATGATCACTGCCCAGTGGGTCATTGTCAACCCCACAAGAAAAGCGAGAGAAAAATGAAGGAGAGCAGAGAGATAGATCAATGACAGTAAAAGACTGACTAGGTACATTAAAATAAGTATAAGAACCAGTATTGAAGAGAGAAAGGATGTGATCTGAGAGCATACACTCTATGGAATGACCCCCTCCCATCAATATCAGCACCACTCCAGAGGGGATTGTGTTCATTAAAGTCTCCCAGGATTAAAAAATGAGACAGCAACTGTTCGACAAGGGCATCAAGGTCTGATTGAAATTAAGTCTCTCTTGGAGATAGATAGACAACAAACAGTGATGATACAACCCAAGTAAACATGGATGGCTATGGCCTCCAAAGGTGTATTGAATGGGTCAACCAGCAGTTCCACCCATAACATAGCCTGCCCTTCAGGTATAAAGAAAACTGCCAAAAGATTACTGTATCGGCAGGTTTCAGGAATGTTTCCTGGAAGGAAAGACACACAGGATGATAGGATTGAATCAAGGCCTTAATGTCATACAGATTAGAATGGACACCTCGACAGTTCCACTCCATCAAAGTGGCCATTTTTACTTAGGTGGAGGAAAATGAGGTGGAGAACCCTTTGGTTTATGACCATGCCCTTTTTCTTTATTTGAAGGAGGTCTGCAGACCTCTTTGGATCCTGCCTTGGGATGAGTGAGCAGGTCTCTGTCAGTATACATAGATTCCAGTGACTGAGGGTATGTATGAATAATCGTTCAGCATCTTGGGGATGGACCTGAGCAGACACCAGAAGCCAGGGCCAAAGGAAGTGGACCTGGGCAGTCACTGGAAGGAATGGCAGGGACAGATAAAGGAGTAGACGTGTACTTGTCAACTCAATTACCCAGTGAGGTCAAAAGACTCTTCACATGATGAGAAAAAGACTCTGACGGAGGTACAGAAAGTGCTATCTGCACACCCACAGTAATAGTGGAACATAGTGCAGCAGCATATGTCCAAGATGGAGTAGGGGATAACAACTTTAGAACCTCCGGATAAGAAAAATGTTATTAACGGCTTCCAAAAGCTGTACCTCTTTCTCCTTTACCCACTTAGGGCATGAACGAAAGTAAGAAGGGTGGGAACCACTACAATTGATGCAGTTAGGGTCCAATTGACACTCGTAGGCATCGTGGTCTTTGTCACCACAATGAGCACATGTCACACAACCACGACAAGATGTCTTCGAATGACTGAACCACTGACACAGAAAACACCAGCGAGTGTTGGGAATATATGGCCATACCTTACAATGAAGATAACCTGCCTTGACAGAGGCAGGTGGATGTGGAGATGTAAATGTCAAAATAAGAACATTGGTAGGCAGTATAATTCCTTCTTTATGAGTGGAGATGCGTCTCACTGCAAAGACTCCTTGGCTGGAGAAACCAGAAAGAATCTACAACTGAGGGATGTTCTTCAAATCCCTCTCAATAATAACTCCTCATGAGGAATCCAAAGTAGCATGGGGAGTAACCTCAATAGGTACATCCCCAATGGCTTTTGAATTCAGGAAGAGTTCAACTTGTAGATGTTTCCACCAAGATGTCCCCAGAATGTAGCTTCTTGACTGCCTTTGGAGAGCCAGCAAGCTTTTCTAATCCCTTTTGAATAAAATATGGAGACATTTGTCCTAAAGGTTTGTCTGCCAAGGAATGTAAAATCAAAAAATGACATACAAGATTGCTGATCAGAGTCTTCAAGGTGTGGTTGCGTACAAATGAACTGTGTTTTTACTATTCATTTTTATTTTTGGATGGGGATCCATAATAAAAGGAGAAAGATTCAGTGCCCCCACCCACTACAGAGTCCGGCGAGGGTATGCACTACAATGCCAAACAAGAACAGTGCAGCAATGCCAGGGTTTCATGAGCACTATACCCGAAAAACCAGCATCAGACAACCGTCTACACGTTTTCAAGGTGTATTGCAGTGTTCCAGACACCACTCAACCACCAAAATCATCTCCTCCCCTTCATAGGTCACCATGCACAACAAACACATTGGTGGATGTTCAGATCTTAGAGAAGGTAACTGAAAATACAGAACCTTCTCTAGGAGGTCCCCTCACCACATACAGGAATCCACCTTGAGGGGCTGACCACTGACACTGAAAAAACACAATAAAAGGTAAAGTACATTGTCATTCACCAAACAGCTGCACCACAATTTTAACCTCCGAGAGCCAACGTACTTAATTTACCTCAGAGTAATAAAAAAAATCTTTACCTTTACAGCTTTAGTAGAAACTAGAATACCAAAATATTACATTGACACATTGCAGTTACAAGATTCAGCTGACAATACTAATTTTTATTTCACTGAAAGAAAAAAAAGCATATTACTCAAAAAGTAGTAACAAAAACCAATTTAAACTACTACTGCAATCAAAATACCTCTTTACAAAAGCATACTACAAGTAGTAACAAAACAAAATTTAAACTATTACTGAAATCAAAATACTTCTTTACAAAAGCATACTACAAGTAGATACAAAAACAAATTTAAACTATTATTGCAATCAAAATACCTGATTACAAAAGCATTAACCCATAGTAAAAAAAAACATTTGAAATAACATTTCAACCAAAATATCTCGCCAAAAACCATCCATGTTGTCACTCAATAAATAGTAATTTGACTTGAAAATGATACTGATTACAGACAGGGGTACACGTACATATCAGTAAGCTATCAGCTTGGCACTGATATAGGAAAAATTTACATTATTCACTATTGGCCATTTTCGTTGTTGCAGTCAAAAAGGTATACCAATATTTTTACTTGTTTTCACCCAGAACATTTTAATGTATAAGCAGTTGAGAAAAGAACGTATTTGCTCTAGTGCTCAATGTGCAATTGCTATTTGCTGTAAATGTAAAAAAACAATGAGTTTGGAATTTGTTTAGTGTTAGAAAACCATAACAGGACAGCTCATTATAAACTATGTGCTGAAAACATTTTGAGGTAACACCACTAAAGATTTTAGCACAACAGATTTAATACACTTCCCACTGAATACTGATTTCTTAAAGATGGCTAAGGAAAGAAAGGAGGCAAGACTGGATAATAAAAAAACCCATGTCAAATTAGTTATCTGCTTCAAGCAAAAAATGTTCACAGAAATTATATTGTGAAAATCTCGTATCAAAAGAAATTACTTCAACTGCATTGCAACCCTGCCGTATTCAACATATAAGGACAGGTACTTTACCAACCTTGACAAAAAGCTGCTTGCTATGCAGATGTTGTTGACATATCTGGAACAAATGGAAGCAAAATGACAAATACACAACAACCTAAGAACCTGTCACAAAGAAACCAAAGCAAACAGACGATGGCATTTCTACAAACCTAGCAGTACCCGATGGTCAATGTATGATGAAATATGGGAGAAAAGTGATGGCAGTGTTTAAACTGATAGAATTAACTGTAGTGTTGTGCTTCAGTAACATGGTTACCTGAGTGGGCCATGCTTCCAAGAAAGGCACAAAAAGTGCAACACTGGAAGAGCAACAAAGACCATTCTACAATCATGGCTGAAGCTGCATGAAAGTGTTTTTATACCCAGTAGTGTTGACAGTGAACAATTATTCAGTGCTGCCCCACATGTTTTAGATGAGCAAACGAACAGGCTGAAATGTTTTTTGTGAAGAAAAAACCTTACACTCAGAGGTTTGCTGCACTAAATACAACTAGAAAGCCGTAAGTATAATATTGATGACCTTTTTAACTTACTTGAACAAGTAAATTATTTAAAGTTAATATTAATGGGTTTTGTTACTATTATTAGTACAAAATGTATCACATCAGTTTCTTTTTGTATTTGTTTTCATCTTGAACTGCATTGCTTGTAAACATATTTGTGTTCTGTTTTGAAGCCAAAAGTTGTCTTTTTTTCTTTTCTCTGAAGAGGAAAAGTTGTCAGGCTGAATACTGTAAAATAAACTGAATAGTTCTATGTTTACTTTTTGTGATGAAGTTTACAGGCATAAAGTTTCTATTATAACTTAATCAAAGTTACAATTACAATTCAAAAGTTAATTTCTGTGTGTGTGTTTTTATTTTGCCAAGCATTTACAGATGTCCTAATGCAAAGTAGCTTCTAAACTTTTTTTTTATGATTATTCTTTATTCATTTGCTGAACCAAATGCACCACCTAAATAGTATTTGTCAATGTTCTTTATAAACGTAAGAAAAAAATCACCTAAAGGTTAAATTTTAATTTGTTTAGTAGTTTAAAGTACCTTACCTGCATTGGTATGTATTACCAACTACTGATATGGTTGGATAATCATTGGCTATTGGTATCGATCACGTAAATCTTAATTAGTGCATCTCTAATTACAGATAATCCCTTACCAAGTGGTAATGATGTGATCTTGTTGTCCTTCATATTCAGCTTAGTCAAGTTCATAGCACGAGAAAATATGCTAAAAGGAATTCTGTTAATTTGGTTGTGCTCCATGTTGATAGACTGTGAACGAAATTTCAATTAATATTAATTATTACTTAAATAAAGCTGTCTTTATAAATACAGTTACAAGCAGAAGAATGTTCATGAACTTAAATACTGCAAATTATGAAATTCCAAATAAAACCAATTCATACAGTTATTTAGAGGCTACCACAAAATGTTTTGCAATAGTTGAAATAAATAAATTCCTAAATCCAACTAAATTCCAGTAAGTCTTTCAGGATAAAATAATATTCTTTTTCCAACTAATTTGTCCAAGATACTAAAACAATTCCTGAAAAACAAGGTTAATTTTTCCCATAAAACTGTCATTATTTATATACATGACAAGATGTAGGATTACTCAGCTTGACAAAACAAAAACTTTATTTATTCAGTCATATGACAAGATGTAATAATCCATATATAGTCAAAAGAATACTTATGTAGATGAAACAAAACTATATTTATTCACTCACTTGACAATATGTAAGATTACTCACACAGACCAAAAAAAAGTTATTTGGATATATGACAAGATTTAAAAATACTTACATAGACAAAACAGAACTGTGATGGTCCACCAATTGGGTAGGATGTAAAAGCATTCCGAGAAAGTGTGAGACTTGTTAGGTGAGATAGACTAGAGAGAAGTCCTTCCTGCAGAAGTAGTTCAGATTATGATTATGAATAACCAAAAATATCACAGCACAACAAGCAAGATTCATGTTAACTAAAACTATTATTGTGATAATTTTAACAAACTGACACCTATGACTCCAGAAGAAGGAAGGTATATTTTTTTTAAGCATTTGGATTCTTAAGTTCAAGTTATTTACCAACTTTCTATTCTATTCTAGTCACTTTCCAAGTACTATGAATGTTTCAAGTGTAACAGTGTAGTGAACTTTATAATACAATTTTATAATCACATATTGGAAGTTACAAAATAGACTAAAAATCGTAAACAAAAGAACACTAGTCACCAATCCTGATGAGTGAGAAACAATATAAAGTTCTACAACACTAAATTACATGTAGATATACTTAGGTAGTGGTACTTACTGGTAACTGTGATAAATTATTACTCTCTACATTAAATTCAGTCAACTTGACACAGTTGCTGAGTGACTGTGGAATACAAGTCAGTTGGTTATACCTACATAAAAAAAATGTAAATTTAATATCGGACAATTGTCAATTAAAATTACAGAGTATTATTAAACAATAAATAAAAAGTGCCTACAGTAAAGGAAGCATCTAAAATCGGACACATTCTTTATTGCAACTGCTTCACATAACATAGTAAAAGAAAAACTATTCTTTTGAAACTACTGAATATCTTTATAGGGATATCATGTTAAACTAAGCACTTGTATATCACATTATAGCAAAAAAACCTAATCTGATAAATGATAAATTGATTGCAGAAAAAGACCAGTCTTAGAATTAGTTTGATTAGTGATATATTATAATTGCAATAAATCATTTGCTAGAATTGTTTATTTGTACACAAGTAAAAAATGTGAGACTTACCTAAGACCAAGTCTGGTCAGAGCTCTCAGATTACCTATGGATTCTGGAATATCTACAAGTTCATTATGTTGAACATCAAGGGAAGACAGCTGGGAACACTGGCCTATTTCTATAAATTACAAGGTAAAAAAATTAGCTTAACATATTGATCTAGTTCTGTAAGGCACAAGACAAGACATACTACAAACAGTTAAAGCTTTAAAATTACTTACTTTTCAACACATTTAAATACTACAAAGTTTTTGATAATGGCTCTGACTCTGGAGTACTAAATCTTTCCTAGTTAGTTTACAACCTTAATTGTAGTCCATACTACTGTAATACAAGTACTAGAGAAGTAACTTTAAAATATAAAGTGTTATTTCATACTAAATAGCTTTGTATGCATTATAAAATTTTAAAGTTGTTATAAGCTAAGTATATAAACAATGAAGTTACTTCTTAAAACCATTAATTTTATTCCTGGTATACTTAATATAAACAATTTCAAGATTTAAATACTCTCAAAGGTGTTCAATAAATAAAGTTTAATTCATTACTCTTTAAAATTCTTTATAGTTTGATACACTGACCAAACCACAAAACTAAGAGTAAGCTGCAAATTTTTTATAACAAGAAGTTCTAATCTGCTCTGAGACAATGTTCAATTCTACAATAAAAAGCGCTTTCCTGAAATAGAATTGGTATACAACTTTAAACAGAGATGCTTTGCTTCTAACTCACCAGATGGTAGGTGCTTGAGATGGTTGTTGGAAGCATCAAATGTTACAAGAGCTGTCAGTTTCCCAATACCAGCAGGAAGTTCCCTAATTTTATTCTCTCTCAAACTGAGCATTGACAGGTTCTGAAATACCGACCAAATATCAAGATGGGATTCAACTGTTACAACTAAAATATCAATAACATTGAAGATACCAAATTCATGAACTAATGCATTTTAATTAAAACAAGTTTTTATTTTATAACATATTCCTAGATAGACAGGTACATAAAATTAACTACATTATTTAAGTTCATTATCAGTTCAGATAAGAAGTTATTATAACATGTTATGAGTGTTCATAGACCTTTTGTAATATTTTTATTTTATTTTACTATTCATAATTATAATTGTATAAACTTACAAATGATTTTTTTCACAATTTACCACACAAACCAAGAATCGAAAAACAAAAAGTTAAAGTACAAAGGCTGGTTTCAAGAAATTTCTTTTACTTCATCATACCAAGTGCACAAAGGTATTTTGTTTTCCAGATAGTTCCTTTAAAATTATCACATACTTATCTACAATATTTCCATGCCATACCAAAATTATTATTCAATTCTATCAATTTCTAATAACCACTTTAATTTCAAAAGACTGCATAAAAAAATAACTGGCTTAATTTAACACCAAGCAAACCATTTACATACAATACTAATTCAAAGAAACTAAACAAATACTTGCACTTAGAGATATAAAACTAGTCTAAACAGTTGTAATAGAATAAAAAAAAATCTTTAAAATAAAAAAGAAGAAACATCTACATAACTAATAGTACATATAAAATTAAGAAAGACCACAAAATGGAACAATATATCTTAAATTTTGGAAGCAAAGAAATTAAGAAATATGTCATTCTAAACTTTAAATATAGCTTTTGATTCAACAAAAATTCAGGATTTTATCTCAGTTCTTGATTGTTTAAAATTCAGGATGTTATTTTTAGTTCAGTTTTCCCTTGGTCTTTCTCTAATGCACATATCACACAAGCTAAGTCAGCTACCAGAAATAGTTTTCTAATTTTTGAGGTGTTTTTTAAGACTTTTCCTTACAAAGCTCAGTTTAGTTAAAACCAACTCTTAAAAATTATTTAAAATATTTCTGGGGAGATTATCAAATACCCAGTAATTATAATTATCTTTTGCTACTATAAAAAAACAACATATTCTCTTATTTTTTCCTCATTGCTCACTTCAGTAAACAGTTACAGACATTTTATTTTATTTTTACACCATAGCTTATATTTTATTTTGTCTTAAAAAATGTTTTAGTACAATAAATCTAAAAAATAATTTTTTTCAAAAAGTGGAATAGAATTCTAAAAATAATGAGATATTAGCAACAAGAATCCAATTACAGATGTATTATGTAGGTAATTATGAAAATATATGTATACAAGTTTTAAAAAATGACAGTCACTTACAACTAGGTTAGCTATATCTTCTCCTACTTCACGTATTCTATTGAACCTTAAGTGTAAAATTGTGAGAGAAGTTAATGTGTGGACAACATCTGGAATCTGGAATGAAATATAAAAATGATGAAACATCAGAAACTGGTGTAAATACACACACACATGGGATTACCAGCAAGTAATTTTTTGAAACAAAAACAGAATAGACAATTGCCATTACAAAAACCTCACACTAAGAAAAGATTCTTTGCTGATTTCTGCAGAAAGTTACTTGAAAACTATCTATGCTGACCATCCTTAATTTTGAAACTAGAGGGAAGGCAACTTAGTTAATACCACCTACTGCCGCCACTTGGGAAACTCTAATTAAATTGTGGCATTTGAACATCACTTTTATAATGCCCTCCAGACCTTAAGTATTGTGTGTAATATTTCTTTTTTTGGCAGTAATAGGGCTAACCATGGAATCTCAGGTCCACAGTCTGGCAAAATAGCACATGGCCATGTTTGGTTCTGAAAAAGGAATAATTATCTATACAAACAATCTTTTCAGATTCTAAATTCAGTAGAAGAAAATGAATTTCAAATATGTACTTATCTCTGAAATACTGAAACTTTCCTTGTTAGGTTTGAACCCATGTTGTCAACAAAACATACAAAACTTTCAGAATGTTATTACACATCACAGGACATGCATAACTTCCCCATAATTCTTCACTCTCCCATCTTCCACATGTCTTATTGCACAAGCATCAGATGATTTTTACATATCTGCTTTCCTATCATAATTTAGATTTTATTCAATACTGGTGTTGTAACGAAAATTTGATTGTGGGGAGGTGAGAGGGAAAGTATTACTAAGGTAAGTACCTGTTTGAAATTAGTTTTAATTCCAAAAATGTCAAATTCAAATCAGGTTAACTGGTCTCTGAAATACTGAAAACCAGTATGCCAACACTGTAAAGGAGGTAGAGACCTATGAACATAAAAAGAAACCAAAAATATAAAATTTAAAGCTACAGAGCAATAAGATAATAATCTAGACTATATGTAGCTAAGCAGAGCTGAAAATATATATATATATATATTAAAACAATTTTGCAGTGTGATTGAATAGGATGGGGGAGGGGGTCACATAACAATAATTCTTTAGTTAAAGTTGAAAAAATATTTATAAAAGCTTATTATTCATCCTGTTAAAAAGTTAAAGGGAATCACGAGTGAAGAGGTACTCTGCTGGAAAGATGCTTTCTTTCTGAATGTATTTTAGGCCCAATCATCTTATAAGGCTGATCCACCCCACTCCTCCATTGAATCCAGTTCTGCCAAATTATTTAGCGGTTCTGGATTTTACGAATTTCTAATCCTAGAACTGAGATAATCTACATTCTCATCCCTTTAAAGCTTATTATCTATTATAATCCCTCAACTCTTTCAGCACAGGCTTGGTCCCTGGGACCGACCTTGTAACCATTTTGTGATTGTTATATTTTTCATGTTATAACTTTCAAATTAGTAAGTGTACATTAACAAAATTTGGCAGATTATCAGTAAATATTACAATGCTTTCATATGCAAAATATCATATTCTTTTATTAAGTCTTAAGGTTTGTAAAGCAATGTTTTTCTTATGTCTTTCTTCTTCTTTTTGCATGTTGCCTATCCAACATGCAAAGTAATTTTCATTTTAAGATTAAAAATACTTTTGTGCATCAGAAAATATTCAAATTTCAAATACGAAATCTTTACAATGTCCAGACAGTTATCATATGTGTTTCTTAAGAAACAAACTTTATATTTTATCTGTTATTTTCAGTAACAAATCTCTGAATGGGTTTGGATTTTGTAACCACCATAAAAAATTTGGAAATAAATATAAGTTATGCATTTTTCATTCTTAAATGCCTACAAGTTATAACACAAAAACATAAATGTTTAGACTAAATAGCTTAAATCTCATAACATTATGCATTTACATATATATATTTATTATTTTTATTATATTGACCTTTCAGCCGTGCCTGGATAACAATACAGAAGTTACAATGATGTGGCTCAGGTGTACTCATGTTACCGTGTCCAGTAATATAAAACTAACCTTTAGTCTTTACAAAGTGACCTGTCTTGGATGTGTTTTATTAGACTAGTATTTTGTAAAATACAGTCACATTTCGATTATTATACATTATGTATGTATGTAGATTATTGCTATTTAGAAATAAGTTCTTAAACTTATTTTTCTTAAAACATAGAACAGTAAATAAAGAAGTGAACAAACAATTATCTCTTCTAGTTACAACCTTTGTACTTAGTTGCTGCTTGATGGAGGTTGCTATGCCTTTTAAAATTTTGCACATGGAGGATATGAAATGAAATAATTTTTTAGGTTTTATATATATACAGTTGATTAACCAAAAAATCATAAATTACCATATCAATACTAGAGAATTCCAATGTAATTTATCAAGCTTAGTAACTAAGCTGTATTTCAGTCTAAAAAAATATGAAATTTTGAGCAGACTAAAGACACAACCTACCGCCTTGAAATCTTGGTTTGAAAGAAAGAGATGGCATGCAAACACATGAAAATGGCTGTGAAAGCCACTATGGAGACATTCTGGGCTTCCAATTGGTTATTCATATGATATATAGAAGTAAGTGTATATAAGGGACCATTTCCAAAAATGGAGAGGTGGACGGGGTGCCACTGTGTTTGATTCAGTATGAGTGATATCTTAGCAAATAGAAAAGATAAGAGGTTCTTATTTTATATTCTAGCTTGTCAATATCGGTAGTTTGAGTTCCTAATTCGTATGAAATTATAGACTTAGTATTTTGACATCACAAACATCTAATTTGAACCAGTGTTGCATTCAACATACAATGTGACACATAGAAATCAAATTTTTTAGTGAAACACTTTTAATAAAATAAAGATTTGTCCATGAATATATTGAGTATTTATTTTGAATATTATGTGTGCAAAATCATTTCCATGTTAAAATTACAAATGTTTTTCCTCATCTCAAAATTTCCTTTATGTAATCCCTAAAACCTAAATGCATTTCAAATGTTTTTTTTCAGTAAAACTTTATAGTTTATGTTATTTTCTCTACCTTATCTCAAAATGGAACCAGTCAATTTGACTGACTCTGTAATCGCAAAAAAAAATAATAAAAAATCTAAATTACCTTTTTTTCTTTCTAGAATGATTTCAAATTGTAACATCAAACTACATTTGTTTATCCTAAGTAGCTCTATGTTCGTAACAGTATACATCTCTTTATGATTAAATTTTATTCCCCTTGAACCATGTCTAACTACTAACTGCACCATTATAAGTTGTAAATAACTCAGGGAACATGCAGCTCATGCTATGCTAATGAATTACATTACCAACGAGCTGCTTGTGCATATGCCTCATGAAACATTTTTATTATAACATTATTATTGTTTATTTTACCTAATCTAAACTTAACTAAACTAAAAGGATCTATATTTTTACATTTTAGTTATTTTAATAATTAGAATAAACATGAAAAACAAGAAATAAAATACTTAACCAATCTTCTTTTTTCTTTCCGTCGATTATCAAAGAGAGTTAACCCTAATTTTTTATACTAGTGATAGTAATGCATTTAATAATTTTTATT